CTTTGTATGGAGAAATCAAAAGATTAAGGGATTAGAGATAGGCTAAGATACAAGAGGCCTCATTAATGAGATTAAGCCTTCTAAGGCTTATCCTCTTGTTTTCTTCCCCTGTTCACTGCCGGGGAATGAAATGAAGAAGCTATACCAAGAACAGAAAGAAAGATGAACTATGCGCCTGAATAATCAAGCACGTACGACTTGAAAAAGCTTTCTCACATTCTCTTTGGCACAAGATTCAACAGTCAATTCTTTACATCCTAATGTAATATTTCGAAAGGTCGTGGCCTTTCCCCTTCCTAATTCTCAGGAATAGAAACTCTCATCTTGGACGGGTCCTAAGTGATAAAAGAACTCATCTTCTTTTCATTTTAACGACTTTTCTTCTTGGCTAATGGAACAAGTGAGAGGGGAAAGGATGAGAAAAAGAATTCTAGTTTCTATGTGTTTGCAAAACCTAATTTTGCACACCTCTGTAGTCGAACTTTCAAATGTCATTATATGTTTTCCACCATCTTTGACTTGGTGGTTACTAATTTCAATACGATATTCTTGCAGGCTTGGAATCTTCATGAGAAAAACCAAGAAATGGAACTCGTTGACAGAACATTATCCGAAGTGAATGAGGACGAAGTAAAAAGAATTATAGGAGTGGCTCTTCTGTGCAGTCAAACATCACCCGGTTTGCGGCCTTCAATGTCACGTGTGGTGTCAATGCTTTCTGGAGACATTGAGGTGCCCCCAGTCACTTCAAAGCCCGGATACCTCACTGACTGGAAATTCAGTGATGCAACAACATTTATGTCGAACATAGATGGTTCAACTTCAAGAACTGATATTAGTCCGAGCAACCCATCAAACGTAATAAGCAGGGCAACTACAGACCCATCTTATTCACCTTTCACTGATTCGAAACCCATTCTTCATGAGATTATTGGCGAGGGGAGGTGAAATTGAATAGTATAGCAGTATTTTCTGGTAGAAAATAAATAAGCGTTCCTTTCGAAATAAAATTGTGTGGTAGTGGTTAAATATTTTCAATTTTCATGATATTGTGATAGTTTCCATATTGTAGTGATGATGTGATATTATTTTCTTAGTAGTATGTTTGTAATAATATAGGATCTTTTCTTTTACATTTGTTTGTAATTCTAGAACACAAAACGTTTATACAATTTCAATAGTTTTTTTCATTGTTTGTATCTCATTTACACTGGATGCATATATATATTAATAGAATTAAAATGTTCCAAGTAATCAACGATTCTAATTTGATTATCAAAGAAAATTTTGATGCAATGGAATTATACTTTTTGACTACTACATCCATTTTTAAATGAAATGAACTAAATATCTAGCTGATATTTCCTGTTATTGAAGTTATCATGAAAAAAATGGCGGCATGCCCTTTGAGGTTGGTCCAACAAAAAATCATTCAATTGCTTATTGCTACAATCATGTCAAGAAACTATGAATAACTTCAAAAGTAGGATTAAGAAATCCTCCATGGGGTTTTTATCCTCAATTTGGCATAGTACTAGCCGAATATTGCTCTGATTATCTCCTTTTGTCACCCAACTTTATGCTAAGGTCGACCTATCTGTCAAGTGACACTGATATACATGTAATTAAGTGCTTGTACCGTTACATCTCTATCACACAATATGATATCATTATGTAAATTGGACATGGAATGTCCACGATTGATGGGTTACCAGCAATATTATATTAATTCAATACTTTACTTCAATGTAATTCTGTAACCTATTATTTTTCAAATAATTAAGTACGTTCTCTAACTCTTTATGACTTCGTAGTTCTATCTTTCAATGTAGTTCTTTAAAAAGAATATAGGTTTTAGTTGTGTTATACCTCCGTCTTACATGGAGTCCTGGTCGATTGCATGTAAGAGCAACACGGGATTTGGTGCTACGTAAGAGCCACGTGGAAAAATTGAGGCCGATGAAGCCTTGGGCCAAGCCTAGCTTTAAGTGATGAGGCTAACGTTCATGCCGCAATGATGAGGCCAATCCTCATGAGTCCTAGTCCAAGTGATGAAGCCTTGGGCTGGGCATTGCTTTAAGTGATGAGGCCGACACTCACGTCTCAATGATGAGGCTGAGCCCCTCTTTGAGTTATAAGGGTAACCCGAGTAATATAACTCAATGTTTTTCAAATAAATAACATTCCACAATATTTTTGTAATAATTTTATTTTGTTGGTGTATTTAAGTAAAATACAAATACGGGTGCTATTAATTTTAATGATAATGGGATATTGTCATTTTATTTTTTCAATTCTCAATTTAATTATAGTTAAATAACAAGTCCATATGCAACATGGTTGATTATAATAATTAGCCCCTATTTGGTTTTAGTAAAAATCAGATTTTTAGTAGGTTTTAATAAAAATTGATGAATTATATTGTTAAAAGTTGCCGATCCCAAGAACATAGAAATGTGTAGTTAAAATTTATTGTTGATCTTAATTTATATTTTCATCAATAATTTTTGCTAAACCAAACATTAATATAGAAGTTTTTCTACCTCTGTCAAGTAAGATATTTATTGTTTCTCAATGATTGTGGAACAAACTGTAACACAGAAGTTGAACTTTAGTTTTCATAACCTAAATACAACTATATATCATACACATTATAATAATATTTAGGTGAAAATATCGATATTTTTCGGTTCCCTTCTTCCAAAGCATTCAGC